TATTCTAGGAGGGGGTGGGTGAGATTCTGTGGCCTGTATTGAGCAGGGGGTCAGACTAGATGATCATAATGGTCCCTTCTGACCTTAAAGTCTATGAGTCTAAGAAGCACCTGAGCCACACCCCCATCTCTGCCCTAGCTCTGAGCCTCTCCTTCCACCTCTAAGGTTCTCATGATCCCCTCCCCTCCTCCCCATATCCAGGTTCTTATGCCCCCTGCCCATTTCTGTGGTTTTTTATTTTGGATAAAATAAAAAAAAAAAGTGTTATTTTTTTGAAAACTAAACATTTGCTTTTATAGGGTCTGCAAGGAAGGAGAGGTTGTTGTGGGAAAGGCAGAGAGGGACAAGGCACAGGCCCCTAGTAGGGAGGCTCTGGGGAGAGTTACTGGGGTCCTTCTGAGAAATTCTCCCTCAGTGCCTCCTGGATGTGTACCCCAACCAATGGTCCTGACAGATGGCAGCTGTTCGCGGCTGCTCAAAGGGTCTCCCTTTGTGGCCAGTCTCTGCTCCCCACCCAGGTAGGAAGACCTCCCTCTCCTCTCTACAACACGCTGAGACAACCTGCACCTGCATCCTTACCTGGCTGAGATGGGAATTAAATTGGCCCCTCCTGCAAAGGTGCATTTGGCCTGTATGTGAGCCCTGCCCAGGCAGGCATTGAAGCGGTCCCTGCTTGGGTCCAGGTGGCTGGTGTATGGCTTCATCATCCATGGCATGAGGGGGTAGGATGCGTCCCCCACGATGCACAGTGGCATCTCAACGTCCCCAACCATGATGTTGCGCTTGGGGAAGAAGGTGCCAGCCTCCAGCTTCTTGTAGAGGTTGGAGTTGTGAAAGACACGGTAGTCGTGTGCTTTCCCCTGACCAGCTGATGAAGATGTCTGTCAACTGGCCACAGTGATCGAACAGGGCCTGCCAGACCATCAAAAAGTATCCCTTTTGGTTGATTTACTGTACTGCACAGTGGTAGGGGACCCGAATGGGAATGTATGTGCCATCAATAGCCCCTCCCCCCACAGTTGTGGAAGCCCATGGTGGCAAATCTGGTGACAATGGGATCTACATCATCCAGTCAGATGACCCTGCGCAGCAGGATGGTGTTGATGGCCCTCACCATCTCCAAAGGAGACAAACAAAGAAACAAAACAGAGAATCAAAGGGGTTGCCAGAGCCCTTGGGAGGTCTCCAAGACCTCCCCCCATCCCCTCCCAAAAACACTAGGAGCCACCCCCTATGAAGCCCATCCACCCCCGCAGGGCTGTGTGAGGGCGGGACTGCAGAACCCCTGGGGGATGGGGCTTCCCCCTACTACCCCCACCCAACCACCCACACCCCTAACCCTCTTTCTTTAGGGTCCCCCTTTCTAGTACTTCCCCTTCCCTCCAGGGACTGCAGCTCAAGAATGCCACACCTGCATGATGAGGGCCCTGATGGTCAACTTCCCCAAGCCAAACTGGTTGCCCATGGATTGGTAACTGTCAGGTGTGGTGAGCTTCCACACGGCAATGGTGATGGCAACTCACTTCTCCAAGAGGATGGAGGGTCACATCTGTGTGTCCCATCATGTGAGGGCAGGAGTGAGCCAGACACACAGCTCCAGGAACATCTTCCTCATACGGAAGTTCTAGTGCCACTACTAGTCATCCCACCACTCCATAACGAGCTGATCCCACCAGCAGATTATTGCCAAAGCCCAGTACAGATGAGAGGGAAGGGTATAGGGGGTTGTGCCTGATAATGTCACCAAAGGGTTCCACACTGGATTTGAACCCCACTAACTGCTGAAATCATTGAGAATTGAAATGGCAGAAAGCTGTGTTAAGTGATGGAACCACAGGACATTCCAAGCAAGCTGCCAGAAAAGTGAGAAGCCAGATGGCAGAGCATAAAAGATGCCTCCCACCCAGGGAAGCAGGTGAACCCAAGCAAATACACCTCTGAATTCCAGGTCTTCACTGAATAAGAGCAACTGTGAGTGGGGTGTAGTGTAAGGGGGGAGCTGGAGTGTGTTTTATTTGTTGGATGCCCTGACCTGAGGCAGAAGACATTGCCCAATATACTTTGGGGTAGGGTGTTTTATGCTTGTGAATTGTGCTTGCAGTGTTTTCCTTAGTTAATGCCAGGCTGCTTTCCCGTTTTCATTTCCTACACACAGACACAGTATTTGCGAGAGAGGAAGTATTGCCTCTCATAGGCACCTCATTGTCCCAAGTTACTGGGTTGGGGCTTGAGCCAGTTTTACATTGTATTGTTTAAAAGGAAGACCTTAGATATGGAACCCAGCCCTTCTCGTTGCTGACTCTACCTGGCAAAAGAGTTACAAATAGAAGGCCATTGCTCAAGCGCCATTGCATTTGTTTTGGGATAACAGTGATTTCAGGAATTTTTGGCTGGCAAAAATAATCCACCCAGAAATAATGACAGGAGAGTATCAGAGGGGTAGCCATATTAGTCTGAATCTGCAAGTGCAACAAGGGGTCCTTTGGCACCTTACAGACTAACAGATTTATTGGAGCATAAGCTTTCGTGGGCAAAGACATGCATCTGACATGCATCTGATGAAGTGGGTCTTTGCCCACGAAAGCTTATGCTCCAATAAATCTATGAGTCTGTAAGATGCTACAGGACTCCTCATCGCAATGACAGGAGAGGCACTGTAGTAGTTTTATAATTACTAGCTTCATTACTGAATTGTATTCATAAATTTTCATTTACCTTCTGTAGCGATTCTATTTCCCCCTCCTCTTCTCTTGCTCTCCCTCTTTTGATTGAGAGGGTACAGAGACTCTTAAAAGTTCATTTGAGTCCCAATCACATGATTAACCAGACTCCAGAGACAGCATATCCTTTCTTCAGGCAATACTGTGCAAGGTTATTCTTATTAACAGTTACTGACAGTAATAAAAGCTGGGGACATAACGAGTTCAAAATGGATTCTGTCTTTCATACTCATCCCTACAATGACTCAGTGTATTACACACATTCAGTTTCTCTGTCAGAATTATTCCTTGTGAGGCTAAAGAGAAACGGCTGTACGGGGGGTCCCTTTAAGCTCACATCTCAGGCAGCAGCACCTGGAAGCAACTGCTGACCTAATTCCCTGCCTCAACTGGTTCCGAATGGCCTTAAATGCGAGATAGCATCCAATGAGTGTGGACGCTATCTTTTGAAATAGCACATTGCTATTTTGTTGCGCTTTTTGTGTGTAGACGCTCTCTGTTGAAATAAGCTTTTGCGGAAGATCTCTTTCAGAAAAAGCTTATTCCAAAAGAAGCCTGCAGTGTAGACGTAGAAAGGAAGTCCTATCATTGCAGCCACTTCAGCATGCAGCTCTTCAGCTTCTAAAGAGCAGCCAGCAAAATTAAACTTAAAATGTTACATTTTAAAACAAAAATTTGACTGGTTTAATACCTCTTTTGTTCCCATTACAGCTGAATTTCTCAGTCATCTTGAAAGGATAAAAGCAGTTTCTCAGAATAACAGTAGAAGGGAAGGGAGTAAAATCCCTTTTACATTAGCAGGTACACATCCCTTTTTACCAGCAGGTAGAGCTGCCTCTCAGTAAATCATCAAGGCAGTGAAAGTTTCGTAATGTGGCTAGTTGATGATAAAAATGCACTTAATTTCCAAAATATGCATTACAGATGTCAAATAGAAGGGACAAAGTTTCTGAAGTGTCTGCACTGTTCAAGCAGCATGAGATACTATACTCAGTGGATGACTCAGCCACATCTTGCATCACTGCAGACAGCTTTTCAAAATCCTGCTTGCTGAGGAGAGACTTTTGGGGCAGGGAAACAAAAAACTCCTACCTGCTGCCTGCTGCCCCCCCCCCCCCCCCAACATGAACAGTTTGTGTCTAGGCAAGTAAGTTTCATTGCTACTGCTCATATTTGCTGCTCCCAGGCACTTCATACTTGTAGGGGAGAAAAAGCCTAGCTCCTGAAGCAAGTCAAGGAGTGTCTATATTTTGATTTCTTGTGTCAAGTATCATGATTTGTTGAGCAGGAAGTTACAAAATTCCTTTCTACAGAAAGGAAGTCTCAGACTATTAATGATCTGAGTCAAAGAAACAGTATCAAAATAAAAAACAAGAGAATCCTTTTTAAAGTGTCCAGTTAGAAAGAAGTCAAACAAACAGAGGTAAACAGTCCCTCATTTCAGGTACTGAGGATCCAGAAGATCACTCAGGGTGCATCTACACAACACCCTAAACTCAAAATAAGATATACAATTTGCCCATCTTATTTTGACTATTTCAAAATAGCTTATTTTGAAATATGGCACGTCTACGCAGTATCAAATTTCAAAAGAACGCGCTATTTTGAGCCATCCCTTAACCCTCGTGCAACGAGGTTTACCAGGATGGTGAAATAGTGCGCACGTTATTTATTTCAAAATAACAGGCGGCTTGTGTAGATGCGGGGTAGTTATTTCGGGTTACCACCAGTATCCCGAAATAGCCGTGCAGTGTAAACATACCCTCAGAAACACTTTTTAAAGCTTTATACCCAACAGAATTTTGCTTTGAGTTGTGAGCACACGTGTATTTGTAACCTCCTGTCCTTTAAATTAATATCTTTGGCAAAACTGCAGCAGCTCATGCACTACAGCCATTCCTTATAGGCTGGAAGCAGTTGTGCACTACCACATAGACAGTGCTCTTACATTATTCCCTACAGTGGCACCTGCTAGGAAAGGTTAGATTTCATTTTTTTTGGCCAAAATAAATGGCTTTTTGGAAAATTAATCTCAAAACTTAAGAAATCTCCATTGTAGTGCCTCCCTGCAAACAAGATTCTCAGATCTGTAAAATGATTTTATTCAGAGTACAGGCCATCCTCTCTATAAGTCCAAGATACGTTCTAAAAAAAAACTTGGACTTGTAGCAAAACAAAAAGTGGGGAATCCTGACGCTGACTTCCATTTGCGCAAATTGTTTTTTTTTTGTGCAACTTAAGAGTGGGGAACGGGAGGACTTCTAACACATCAGTTCCTACAAGTGTCAATGACTTTAGTGCGGAACGGATGTATACCGGGGTGACTTGTAGTGGGGACACACTGTACACAATAGTCCCGGGAGTCTCAGTTTTGGGTCAATGATTGCAGTTACAGCAATAAAATTGTGAAGGTACTATCCATGAGTAAAGCCAAAGAAAACAACACTGCTTTGTTACTGAGGAACAGCACTGCATACGGCTAGAGAGGTACTCTGCTGTCCAACAACTCTAGCCAACCCCACAAGGAGAGAATTTTGAAGTGTCTAGCTCCAGAAAATTGAGACTATTTTACGATTTTAGGCTGAAGTTTCTTAACCCACCCTGTTACAGCCATTCAAGTGCTATGGACTTTTCACAACTCTAAGTAACAGCACATATAGAACACTGGTCTCCAATGCAGATTCCATTTTTGGAGAGGTGCTCTACCCAAGAAGTCTCATTAGTGTTGCAGGATATTTCCTGTCAAGAACTGGACTTTATATCATGGATACTACTCAAGTGATGCTGATTAACAATGCAGTAGGTTCCTTTCCTCACCCACCCACACTCCTTCAGTACCTGTGCCTTCCACATAAACCCATTCTAGCTGATTTGCACAGGATTTCAAAAGCAACGCTCCCTTTGAGTGTGAAGCTCAAAGCTAGGTCCATGGTTGTATCTGGAGACCAGCGGTAGGAGACATGGCTGAGGTAAGACATACTTGTTAACAGTTATTTAATTCCGAGGTTCTGGTGCAATACGAGATATTCCTAAACGTGTTGTGGCACCAATGATTCCCAGAACCTGTGATTAGCTATGGAACCAGACACCAAGAGTTGAAAGTGGGATGGGGGAGCAGTTTTTAAACTCATTCAGACACCCTGATAACCATGAATATACAGGGTACAGAGCGGAGTTATGCAATCAACAGCCAGAACATGATCACCAGAGCCACAAAAAGGAAGAGCCGGGATAGGAACTGCTCATCCACATATTGGGGAGTCCCTGGAACAGCTGAAAAACAGGAAGTACAACAGTTCAGTTCTTTCCTCTTCAAGACATAGTACATTCACAAGAAAATGTATGGGGTTTTTTTTATATAAAAGACACAGCAAAAAATGTTTCCCTTTGTTCACCCTTAAATGATTAGATCTATAGTGTGCCAACAGCATGCCCAAAATGTTGTTTCCCTATATGCTATTTCACCACGTACTTTGGCATACAGACAAGTTAATGATTAACAGGTTCTCTGCTTGAAAGTTACAAGTGAACCTATATGAAATTAATTCTTCTAGGGATTTTCCCAGTAGATAAGATGCCTAATACCTGGTGGAGGTCGCCCATCATTTATGTTGAATGCTGTGGCAAATATACCAAAGGGAAATGCCCCAATTCCAAATGACATTTGGAAGCCACCATCTCCAAACCCAAAGCCTTGGAATCCCTGCAGAAAAGATAAAACATGGAGGCGAAACACTGTCATTTAAACTGTAAGCCAGAGTAAAAGTCAAATATTCCCTATCACTGAGCTTCTTTAGGAAAAGTGAGGACCACACTGACAGCTTTCAGTTTGTGCCTGTATGGTCCCACACCTCACTACAGCTCATGTTTGAGGCTTACAGATTACCAAATGCTAAATGTTTTCGTAAGTCTCTCACCAGATGTCTGAGAGCATATAATAATTTATATCATTGGACATCATTTACTCTTTTTTAAAAAAACCTTCAATTATGAGTCAATATTTGCTATCCATTAATTTACAACAAAAGCAACATGAAAAATTACATTGCTCCTTCTGATACATGTAAAGTGCTATGACAGGCACTTGAAAATTTTGTTCCTATTGAACCACAGGAAGCTTTATGGAGGAGGAGGAAGAGTTCTTGCCCCAAGGAGCCTACAATATAGACCCGTGGTCACCAACCAGTAGATCGTGATCTACCGGTCGATCGCAGGGGCTCTATGAGTCGATCTTTAGCTCCTTCTGGGCTGAGCACGGTGCAGCTGGGCTGGAGCAAAGAGGAGTGGCTGCCCAGCCAGCTGGCCGTGGTTTCCTGCCCAGGTGCACCACGCTCCATGTGAGCTGAAGCAGAGGGGAAGCCACCTGATCAGCTGGCCACGGTGTTCAGCAGAGGCTGTGCTGTGCTCCAGCTGACCGGGCAGCTTCTCCTCTGCTCCAGCCCAGGTAAAGCATGGTGCACCTGGGCTGGAAACCATGGCCAGCTGACTGGGCAGCCCCCTCTCTTTTC